AATTGTCGTGCTTGCGGATCTAAGCACAACACCCTGCTTCACTTGGTAAACTTAGCTTCCTTTTCTTCACAAGAGGGAGCACAGCTTCAGGAAGCACTTCCATCTGCCTCACCCTCTGCACTGCCTTCCACTTCGACTGCTCTTATTGCACAGGAGTTAGGTAATGATATTGTGCTCTTAGCAACGGCTAGCGTTTTAGTAAAAAACCGTTCCGGGGTTTTCGTTCCCTGTCGAGCTCTACTCGATTTGTGCTCCCAAGAGCATCTAATAACGTCCCGATTCGCAAATCAGCTTTAAATAAAGAAAATATAATCTTCAGCATCTGTAACTGGAATAGGAGATTCCAGTTTTGTGACGGATGGTAACTCGGTCAATTTTACGATTCAGTCCCGAACGTCTGCGGTGATTGCTCCGAACAGCCTAGCTTCAACGTCGACATTGGCAGCTGGAAAATACCCAAAAATATACAGTTAGCTGACCCAAGGTTTTATGCTCCCCAGCGGGTGGATCTTTTAATCGGAGCCAGCCTCTTTTTCGAGTTGTTGTGCGTTGGCCAAATCAAGCTCCCACCTGGATTACCCCTAATTCACAAGACACGTCTGGGTTGGGTTGTATCTGGAGGCTATGGCCTTTCCAATGGCTCTGCTTTAATGTCATCTCAAGATGTACTTCTCGCTAGTAGAGAGAATAGTTTCGATCGGTTAGATGATCTTCTTCGACGATTTTGGGAAGTGGAAAGCTGCGCCGAGCCAATTATACGCGCTACTAAGGAAGAATTGGACTGTGAAGCACATTTCGTAAGACACGTCGGTCGCTTGCCAGCTGGTGAATATTCTATTCGGCTGCCTGCCAAGTTCAATCTAGATCTTTTGGGAGAGTCCTACCAGCAAGCTTATCGAAGATTCTAGTCCCTAGAGAGAAAGTTGAATCGTCAGCCAGCCTTGAAGGCTGAATATGCAGCATTCATTCATTCGATCTCGGAAATATGTCATCAGTTTTTGTCGCGGATATTGGGTCGCGCTGATACTTCTTACCTTATTATTGCGTCATAAAGGAAGATAGCTCCACCACAAAGCTTCGCGAAGTTTTTGATGGATTGGCGGCCAGTTCCTCAGGCTTTTCTCTCAACGATGTTCTTACGGCAGGCCCTGTAATTCATCCAAAGCTCTTCCAGATTCTTTTTCGGTTTCGTGTGAACGAAGTAGCAATCACAGGAGACATTTGCAAAATGTACCGTTGTGTTAGGATTCAGCCTGAGGACAGCCATTCGCAATGCATTTTTTGGAGGGATTCCCTCCAGGACCAATTGCGGGTGTTTAAGCTAGACACCGTTACTTATGGCACGAAGACAGCATCTTTTCTGGCTGTGCGAGCTATGCGTCAGTTGTCAGCAGACGAGCATACAGCGTTTCCGCTTGGGGCTGAGATCATTCGTCGCGATTTTTATGTGGATGATTTGATATCAGGAGCCAAATCCAAGGAAGAGGCAGTCTCATTAGGGATCAGGCATCAAAACTTCTAGCCAAGGGAAGCTTAAAAAGTGGTGTTCAAATGTGTCAGCTGTTTTGGATGGAGTTGCAGACAAGGATAAGGAGTCTTATTTGAAGTTTGATGATGGCACTGATTTTGAAAAAAACCCTAGGTCTGGGATCCAGTTTCCTTTTCGGTCTTACAGTCAGCATCAAGCCCCTGCAGGCGATCTGTCCTGTCTGCCATATCGCGGTTTTACGATCCTCGGGTTGGTTTGACCTGTGACCACAAATTCTAACATTTTCCTTCAACAACTGTGCAAGGAGAAGTTATCCTGGGATGAAAAGCTTTCTGAGTCACAGAATACGGAATGGAGTGCTATATGCACGAGTATTGGGCTGGTTTGTTCTCCAAACTCTGAGAGTGAGATTCATGGATTTTGTGATGCCAGCATAGAAGCATATGGTGCCTATGTCTACATTGTATGCAACGGGCGATCTCAATTACTTTGCTCAAAGTCAATGGTAGCCCCCTTGAAAACACTCACTGTGCCCAAGCTGGAAGTGTATGGGCTGGCTGGGACGAGTGCATTTGAGGGAAAGTTTTACTGCTGGAGCGACTCTGCTGTTGGGTTCTTAAAGATCCGAGACGAACAGTCCAGATTCAATATTTTTGTAGCGAACCGAGTAGCTGCCATTCAAAAGCTATCTGAGTCAGGGGAGTGGCGTTATCTTCTTTGAATCCAGTTGACATTCTCTCCCGAGGTGCTTTTCCTGCTGAGCTTAACAAGTCTCCTCTCTGGGCTCATTGATCAAAATTCATTTCGCCATTCATTGATCAACTTGGGCTTCTTAGAGTGGATGGCCTGCTAAGGAATTCTTCGTCATGGGCGTCATCCAATTATATTACCACTTAGTCATTCGGTCAATAATGCCAATATTGCTCACTTTCATGAACGCAATCTGCACACTGGGCCACGGGCACTACTCAGCATAATTCGATTCCAACATTGGCCTATTGGGGGGAGGAAGACGGTGATGAAGGCAGTAAACAATGTATTAGATGCTTTCGAATGAAGCCTCGAGTAGTGGAGCATATATTGGCGGATCTTCCAAAGGAACGACTTGATGGATCTCATGCATTGACTTTTGCGGGCCATTTCTCTACAATTCAGAGGTGCGAAGCAAGCCTCCAGTAAAATGCTACGTTTGTGTTTTCATTTGTTTCGCCACAACGGCTATTCATTTGGAGTTGATCAAAGATCTCTCTACGGTATCGTTTCTACATGGCCTAAAACGATTTATATGCACTAGAAGAAAGCCGGGGCAGATTTGGTCTGATAATGCAACCAACTTTGTTGGCGCTCGCAATGAGCTGCTCGAACTAAGGCGCCTATTCCTCAGCAGTGATCATCAGAGAGCAACATTGGACTTTTGCCTAGCGGTGGCTATTGATTGGTGTTTCATTCTTCCTAGGTCGCCACACTTTGGCGGTCTTTGGGAAGCGGCTGTTAAGATCGCTAAGCATCATTTCTACCGCGCTGTTGGTACTGCTGTTTTATCCCTTGAGGAGTTGCGGACACTTGTGTGTCACATTTCGGCGGTTGTTAATTCTCGACCAGTAGTCCCGATTTCAGAAAACCCCACTGATCTGGATATATTAGCCCCAGCACATTTTTTGAATGGCAGTCCGTCTTCCTTTTTCGTCGAGCAGGATGTGACCAGTCTTAACTTCAATCGCCTGGATGTACGACAACGCGTGTCTTACTTGCAGCAGATCTTTTGGTCCCGATGGAAGGAAGAATACTTAGCATTACTGCAGCAGCGCTCCAAGTGGCGCACTCCAAAACCTGGCATGGTTGTCGATGACTTTGTTCTGGTCAAGGACGAAGACTTGCCTCCCATGAAGTGGCTCCTCGACAGAGTGATCGAGCTTCTGTTCGGTGGAGATGGGGTTGCTCGAGTTGCCGTTCTGAAGACAGCATCAGAAGTGACAAAGCGAGCAGTAAACAAGCTGTGTCTGGTACCCCTTAAGAATGATGTTGAAGCCCAGGCTTCCAACGGGGGGAGTATGTCGGTTCACGCAGCCGCAGCAGCTTAATTCGATCTCTTATATAAATAGCATCGCGAAAGGTATCTCTCTCTATCTAGCTCTCTCATTTTTGTGTACTTGCATTCTTGGGCCCAGCATTCTGATGTCTGTCTCTTTGTAAAATCAGTTGGAATTCTGATCTCGACATTAAACGCTCTCTCGTCTCGCCTGCTAATAAATTGTTAGAAAGCATAAAGCAACCCGAAATTTCGTATTTTAATTTTGTAATAACTAATAAAAAAGCTTATTAGTTCAACACCAATTTTGAGAAAATATGCTATAAGTGGTTAAGCGTGATTAGCACGTATCTGTAATTCCCTATACTCAGCTAACAAAAAAGCGTCACCTATCGTTCATTTCTATCGGTTTACGAGATTTCACAAACACGCATATAACAGTGGCTTCACTCTTGTTCCATGTCGAGGAAATATGTTTAAAAGGTAGACTTTTAAAGAAAACGAAACTTTCAATATATGCTAAATAAGTTAAGAAATGTTTTATATCATACAAATGTTATTTAAATGACCTTTTCATTGATGCCAAAATGAATATGAAGTTAGTTCAAATTATAGGTATGTATATTTAAATTTTGTTTCGTCAAAATACTTACGCCGACAAGTGTTTTTAAGTACACCTTTTCTTCTAACTAATTCTGCACACCGCATTTTTTCTTTATTTAACACGATTACACTTAATGCATTATGCATTTAAATTTCACCCGTAATTAATGATTTTTGGTTGCGCTCTCTTACTCGCTTACTTTACTTGCAATGAACTTCCTTGGGAACTTTTTTTTATCATTTCCACCCCGGCTGCTCACCTGAAGTATATAAAGATTAAACGGATATTCCCGTTTGATTTTGTAATTTTCCTCCTTACTTATATGACACCTATACCAGGTTGATCTCTTAGTTGGCTCTTTGGCAGGGTGGTCCCTCTGCTCCGTGGTTTACTCCGGATCCAGAGTATGTCGGTTCGACGCTCTTGTCCTGGTCGAATGCTCTACAAGGGGGACACTCTCCAGAAGGTTTAAGAGGAAGTGAGCCGCGTACAAGATTTTTAAAATCAAACTTTTGAAATGAAATTGATTTAATTTACTTGCGACATCCACAGAAAGCATAGCAATCAAACGAAACCACAAAAAAGTGTTGCGAGTTTTACAGTATGTATTGCTTGTGATGCAATGCTGCACATATATGTTTAAAAAACTAATATTGATGGAAAAGTAATTGTTCTATAAAATATAGGTAGTAATGCTATTTTAAAACAAATTAAAAGAAATTTTCCGCTAACTTTTTTTTTTTTTGTTTTTTTTTTTAATAGCAGATTACGTCTCGGTGGGTATTAATCCTTATTTATAAAAGATTTTGTGAAATATATGTAAAGTAATGTATACTAATAAATAATTTTTTAATGTTTGTTTTATATTATAATTATAGCAGACGCAAACGATTGGGGCAATGTTTATCCAAATATGTCTGGGGATGGTGCCCTCGGTATGGTTATACAACATAAAGCCGATATCTGTATTGGTGCAATGTACTCGTGGTCTGAAGATTACACATATTTAGATCTCTCCGTGTATCTTGTGAGGTCTGGAATAACATGCCTTGTTCCAGCTCCATTGCGGATAGCTAGTTGGCATCTACCTTTAGAACCTTTCCAAAAACCTCTATGGGCTGCAATCCTGTTATGCCTATTTATAGAAGCTATCGGACTAATTTTAGCATATAAAAGTGAGCAGGAACTGTACGTACCACCAAAAAACCCTGGTGGATGGTGGACTTGCACAAAATTCGGGATTTCTACTACTTTTAAGCTTTTTATATCGCAATCAGGAAAAAGCAAAGCCAATTCACTTACAGTTCGTCTGTTGCTCTTGGTCTGCTTTCTAAATGATTTAATCATTACCAGCATATATGGTGGTGGCTTAGCCAGTATATTGACAGTACCCAGCATGGACGAGGCAGCTGACACAGTCCAGCGTCTGCGATTGCACCGATTACAGTGGGCGGCCAACTCTGAGGCATGGGTCTCAGCCATACGCGGGTCGGATGAGGTAAGTGTTTTCACATAGAACATAAATAAATGACTTACATAAATTTCTGTGTTCCTTTTCTTAAAAGTCATTAGTGCGAGATTTGTTGTACAATTTTCACATATATAGCGATGATCAGTTGCTTCGATTAGCTCAGGAGCAGAGGGTGCACATTGGATTTACAGTAGAGCGTCTGCCGTTTGGTAACAAATTTAACTCACAGAGAAAACTGTCGCTTATTTTTGAAATAACTTTGTAGGTCACTTTGCTGTCGGCAACTATTTGGTGCCTCAAGCGATTGACCAGTTGATAATTATGAAGGATGATCTATATTTCCAGTATACAGTTGCTTTTGTTCCCAGACTTTGGCCTCTCTTAGATCAATTCAATTCGATGATTTATAGTTGGCATTCGTCAGGACTCGATAAGTACTGGGAAGATCGTGTAGTAGGTGATAACTTAAACCTAAAGATACAAAAGCAACTCGAAGAAACTATGTCTAAAAATAAAGGAGATATTGGTCCGAACATGCTTGGAATGTCTAACTTTGCTGGAATAATACTTGTGTGGATATTAGGATCAATTGTTGCTATGCTGTCCTTTTCTTTAGAGCTTATATACTTTAACTTGAAAGTCATAAAATAGTTTAAATTGTACACAAAGAAACTCTATTCACATTACAATTTTTTGGGGAAAAGAACGGGAAGTAAGGTAGAAAGGAAACTTTGCCGTCAAAATGTTGCGAAGTTTCCTAATTTAAGTGTTTTTTGTAAGGTGTACTAAGTATACTATAAATACTAAGTATTTTACTAAAGTTCGGATGATGGCTTAATTAGCTTACTAATGCAACTGGCTAAGCAGCTGATCTATAGTGCTGGGTAGTGCGAGAACTACAACTGGCAGCAACAGGGCGAATACGACAGTAGGCTGGAAGCAGCCACAACATATTCTAGGCCGAACCCTTTAAGAACAGAGTTCAAAGTTCTTATAAACTACCATGGTACACAAAGGTCGCTAATCTATTCGCTAAGTACTTTTCATCTAACTTTGAACCGAGCTCGCTGTGGAATGAGTATGATTCACTCAGTGCCATTGCCACAATGCTAAATATTGGGTGCTTAGATGTCACTGATTTTGACTGCTATATGGCGGCTGAGAGTTTTAACGACTCAGGAAAATTAGACAGCGATGGCCTTTCTCCATTTATTTTGAAAAACAGTATAGGTGCTCTTTGTGAGCCCCTTAAAATGATCTTTAACCAGTCTCTTTCCACTGGCGTATTTGCGCATAGATGGAAACTTGCCACAGTTTCTCCTATATTCAAGTCTGGTTACAAGAATGTTGTTTCATATTATAGGCCATTGCAAAGCTAAGTAATGCCTCAAAAATGTTTGAACGAATTGTAGCTAAGCAGCTAACTTTTCTTGCTGGTCGGATCATCAGTCCTAACCAACATGGTTTTATGCCTGGACGGTCAACTACCACTAACTTAGCTACGTTTAATCTTTATTGCATCTACTCGTTTATCAGCCATCATCAAGTTGATGTGGTCTACACCGACTTCGCCAAAGCATTTGACCAAGTCTCCCATAATGCTTTATTGGCAAAACTGCAGAAATTGGGATTTCATTCATCAATACTAAATTGGTTAAATCTTATTTAGATAGTCGGATTTATAGAGTAGAGTGCAATGGTGTTTTCTCAAACTCGTATGTGGCAACTTCTGGCCTTCCTCAGGAAAGTGCATTGGGTCCGTTTCTTTTCATCATCTTCATTTATGATTTAAGCTATTGCATAAAAAATTCTGAATTCCTGTTTGCGGACGATCTTAAAATATTTAGGTCTGTGAATTCAATCTCCGATAGTGAACTTCTTCAAAATAACCTAGTAAAAGTGGGAAATTGGTGTTCTCGTAATAAGTTGCCTCTGAACTTGTCAAAGATTTTTATGTTAGGTACTGCAAACGATTAATTAATGTCCTCAGTTCGTATTGACTCGCGTTCCGCATAAATTCCTTCTGGTTCAGTTCATATATTCTCCAAGATATACATCCATTTTACCAAAGGCAGGACGTAGTAAAAGCTAACTCCATCCGTAAAGATCGGTCGTCCTTCCAGGACAACAAGCAAAAAGTCCTTAACTCCTTTAAAATCCGTGAGAACGGCTGCGTCACAGCCAGTTTCATCCCTGTCATCCCTGTCAGTCACGAGATCAACTGCGAAAATGGCTGAGGCTGAAGCTAAAACTGCTTTGACAAAATTTGTGGCTGTAACCGATAGGGTTAGTAATTCGAAGACAGGGTCAATACCCTGTCTGTTCACTCTAATAAGGTCAGACTTCAGCAGATACAGGCTCTTTGGGACAAGGTATAGAAAGAGTACGAGACGTGCTCTGAAGTACTTTCTGTAGTCATGCAAGCCAAGTATGACTACTGTTACTCTTTCTTTGAACGATGCGCTGCAACACTAAACGAAACAATTGGAAGAGCTAGCCTTCAACCGATTCCTGATCCTTCCACACCGGCGTCTCTTCCTAGTGGATGTCGCGTTCCTCCAATAGACTGTGAAATTTTCAGTGGCGACTATGTTCATTGGCCGACGTTTCGAAACCTTTTTTCCCCCATCTATGTACAAAATCAGATGCTCTCGGGCGTTAAAAAGCTGTTCCAACCCAACTCGAAAACGAGCGGAGGGGCAAGGTCTATTGTTGCATTATCACCGTTGACTAACGAAGGGCTTGAGTCCGCATGGGGAAATCTGCAGACTCGTTTCGAAAACAAACGGCTGCTCTTAAACAGCCAACTAAAGATCCTGTTCAATCTTCCCTCTGTTTCCCAAGAGTGTGGCAATTCCTTAAAGCAACGGAGAGCACTATCCAAGGTTGTTTGCCAGCTCTGAAAATAGCTAAAGTAGATATAGCAAATGAGGACTGTCTTCTCGTCTTCCTGTGCTCCTCAAAGCTACCGAAGCTGACGTTGACCTTGTGGGAGCAGTCCCTCCTCAAACCATTCGAGATTCCAGAGTGGGAAGAATTCAAGACCATCTTACAAGGTCGTCATCGAACCCTTGAGGCAATTGAAGAATTTAAACCTACTTTTACCGCTCAATCCAGAGCCCCGCGTCCTGAAAGTGGGCCGCGGATTATCGGTTGCCGACCGGGAACTGTGTATTAAACAACAAAAACTCTGTCTGAGCTGTTTTGCAAGAACCCACATGTTGAGAGACTGCGCAAGTACGCGCAAATGCTGCACGTGCAAAGTTCTCCTGTATCGTGGCGGCCCTCCACAACTCTAGTCAGCATCCGTACCTGACCTCCAGCCAAAGATACAGTCCACTTCGTCGAACGTTTAAACGTTCCTCACCGTTAATACGCAGGGGGTCCTCCTGAGCACGGCGCTCATAGAGATCTGCCACTTGGGCATTAGGTACTCAGCACGTGCCTTAATTGACTTCGGATCCGAAGCGACCTTTATATCAGAACGGTTATTCACCGTAAATTAAGATCCCCTATGAATCCATATAAGCTCAAGTTTCGGGAGTTGCTGCCAAACATCGTAAGCGCTGTCAATTCCATGTAAGCTCCCCCATTAAGCCAAAAATGCAAATTGAAGCCTACGCATATGTGCTACCATATTTGGCCGGAAATCTTCCATCCTGTACGATACCCGAAGGTTCGTCCAACTAGTAGTTCCGAATTTCTACCATAGTTCGCAAATCGACGTGCTCATAGGCGCTGTAACGAACTGATTTTTGTGGTCTGCTCGCTACGAGATTCGTGACCACCCAGTAGCTTAGTGAGAAAGCACAGAATGCACGGGTTCGTAGTGGGTTTATTGCGGGTATATTATTACAAATGGCTTGGTAGCTTGGTGGGCCTTGATATCGCCACTTGTGGCCTTCGGTACTTCCAACGAGCACTTAGTGCTCCAGTCCTTTAGCTCTCTAAAGATCCTTGAGGCTCCCTGAAGATGCTCGCTCGCTGCTCGTCCCTGACGCGTTGACTCGGTGACTGCTCGTGACGACTCAGACTCGCGAGGGGGATCAGCCGTGCGGGCTTAGGGCAGCGTCACCGTACTCAGACTAGGGTGAACAGAAGCTGCGCTCTCTAGGATCACTTCTTTCGACCCACCGATGCCGGTCCCTGGCTCTGTCCAGTCAAGGCTGAACGCCAGGAAGCTGCCTCGCGCTTTACTTCGCTTCAACGCCTAATGTAAACGAACGTTCCACCCTAGCCTCACCCTTTTGCTTATTGTCCGGGACGTTTTCGCGTGACTCGCTCTGTGTTGCGTGGCTGTCGTGATGTGGTGGCTGGCTCGCTGCTGACAATGTCTTGCGCACTGCTCCTGGCGGTGCTGGCTGCGCGGCTGGACGTAGCGTGGCTTTTGGTACTCGGGGTTTAGCGTACGCCGATCCGGGACTTCACGGGTCGAAGCCTCCTGAAGGGCGAGAGAGGACGAATGGAGAGAAAAAGAATGAAATAGAAAGGAGTGAAGAAATGCGAAAACTTACCTATGAAAGTTGCAAAGTCACCAGGAGTCAGGGAACGGGGCGCCTCGATAGGCGGTCTATTGGCATTGGAAGATAGTGCAATCGATGGGCACACGCAAAAAGCAAATATCGGCAAAAGTTGAAAATAACGCTTCACCATCGGTATCGATAATCGGTTAAGTATCGATCACGCACGGATGGTGTGACCAAACGGAGGAGCCACGGAAAGGAGTAGGACGCAGCAATGAGCAGCGAGCTGGTGATCGATAGGCGATGAGTACCGATGTCCCAGTGGGAACAGACGGAGGATCGGCGCGGGAGACTTAAAGTTGCTACGAGGAGGACAACCAGCGCTGTAAAAACTCAGTGGAGTTAAAAGCGTCGAGGGCGCATCGAGGGATCAACGAGGGAGCGCCGGGGGAATCGGCAGGAGCATCACAAGGACTTGAAGGCTATAATATGCAAGGAAACGCCGGAGAGTAGTACCGAGTTTTTCAATGTTTCCCGAAGAAAGGGGGAAATGTGAGGAATTAAATAACTCACCACAAATCTCAGCAGCAGCAGCAATGGATGGCCGGCCACTCGAGTGGAGTTGTCCAGGACGTATTCGCAGCGTATTTGGTAAGCGGCCGGCCATCCGTTGCTGCTGCTGCTGAGATTTGTGGGGAGTTATTTAACTCCTCTCAGCGCCTGGGACATTCAAAACGCCGCCTTGAAAGAGCAGTATGACTCAGTTATTCTGGAGAATTTAGATTTAGGTCATATGCACCTAGTCTCTCCAAATGACGACTCCAGCAATTATTACTCGTCACACCACGTGGTTTTAAAGCCAGACAGTTCCACCACAAGGGTTCGCGTTGTGTTGAACGCCTCCAATAAAACGTCAAACACGTACAGCTTAAATGATATCCTTCATACAGATGCGGTACTGCAATCTGATTTGACCACTCAGATCCTCAAATAGCGTTTCTTTAAATACGTCTTCAATGCTGACATCACCAAGATGTATCGGCAGATTCTGTCAACACTGTCACTTTCGGGGTTAGCTGTGCCCCTTTCTGGCTATACGCGTGCTTCAACAACTGGACCAGGATGTACGTGACCAACATCCTTTGGAAAGTGACGTAATTTCTAACCTTATGTATGTCGATGATGTTCTAGCTG